ATCGCTATCATCAATAGACATAACTTCATTTCCACTTATTCTAATTGTTGTTTTCTTAATTATTGCTCTTCCTATGTTTTGATATACTGTTGCATTTACATCTTTAGAGTTTAGTTCAATTTCAAATGCTAATCTGACTGATCCGGGAACAATAACATCATTACTACTTAGATTAGGAAATCTCACTAACAATTGTTGATTTTGGTCAATAGTTGAAGGATTATTGGTTATAACAACACTTTGACGAATTCCTCTTATACCACGTGGTTCTCTTAATTTTCTGTAGGGGTTTAATTTTTCTCCAAAAGCCGACATTTTTAAAGGGAAATTTTTAAGGATATTTTTTAAGTAATAAAAATGGCTGAAGGCGGATTTGAATTTGATAATTCTGCGTTTGATAAAGATGACTATGATGATAAAGATGATGAACAGGATTTAGATGAAACATCTTTTACGGATGAAGAACAGTTTCAAAGAACATTAAATATTCAATATACTAGTTTAAAAGATTTATCAGGTGATGATAAGATATCTATGAAAAAGAAAATAACACAACAAATGACAAATAGAGTTTATGAAAGGAATGAAGAATCTGTACATAATATAGATTCCGTTGTCAAAAATGACAAATTAGGGAGACCAATGTTATATGTCGAAGGAGATAAAGAATATGCATTAACATATTATAAATCTAACAACCCTGATGAAATAGTAACATTTTTATCATTTAATACTCTTCAAAGGAAATATGGTGTTGGATTTGTTAGGGATTTTTTAGGTGTAAATGATTTTCAACCATCTGTTACAAGAATCAAGCAAGGTAGAAAAGAGTTTGCTAAATTAATAGAATTAAACAGCAAAATAAAAACAAAGAATATTCCTTTGCAAGACATTTCTTCACCACAAGAAATACAAGATTTAACAAACACAGTTGACGAAGTTGAAACTGCAGTTAAAACTTTTGAAACATCTTTCACGGAAACTACAACTGCTACACAAACAGATATGACAAAAAGAGAAATGGATGGTGTCCTCAAAGCGATGACTACTGTAAAAGAAGAGATTGCAAATGAATTGACTAAATTGAATGAAACAAATAAAGACATAGAAAAAGAAAACCGTAAATTAGAACAAGCCAAATCAGATAATGATGAATTTCAAATAGAGAGGATAAGTAGTCGAATAAGAGATTTGGAGTCTGAGAGAAGTGCAAGACTGGAAGTAATTAATGTTAATAGAGATAAATTACGTAGTCAGATAAATAGAATAAAAGAAACAATAAATAAAGTATTAAAAGAAGACACTACATTAGCCGAGAGAATAAAAACATTATTCAGAGAACAAGGAATTACAATTGTTAGTGTTTTAACTGCTTTCGGAATGATTATTGGTGTTATTGTTGAGACTTTTATTCCTACTACCGGTGGTGGAACTACAACACCTAAGCCTCCTCCAAAAGATGGAAGTGGTGTAAAAGACTGGATAAAAAAACAATTATCAAATCTTGGTAAACTGTTAGCTACTCTAGCTGGTAAAGCTGCAGAAGCATTGCCCGGTATTATCGGTGCTATTGTTTCTTGGTTGCTTTCTTCCGCGGGTAAAGTTGTATCCTGGTTTGGTGAACATTTATGGGCTGTAGTTGTTCTTGTTGCCGGAATGTTGTATGCAGCTGCTAATAATTATATTAATAAAAAGTAAAAAAAAACTATATAATTTCCAAAACACAACTAATTGTTAATCCATTGTTGTTTATTTTCTGACCTTTCTCATCACAAACGCTTATACTTAATTCAGAAATATCACCATGTGTCAATTGTTTGTATTGTGGATTACTAAAATTAATATGAACAATATCACCGAATGGTTTATTTTCAACGGGAACAACACAAAGAATATTACTAGGAGCACCATCAAAGAAATTGTAAAAGCTATTTATTTGCTCAAGATGAACATATAGTTGTTTATAAGGTGCAAAATCTATTGTTATTTCACCGTAGTGCGTTTCATTAGCAGTAAATATTTTCTTATTTTTAAACCCTAATATTTGTTTTAAACCTTTACTTATCTTCAAATCATCGGAAGTAATTAAAGAGGCAATACCATTTGTTTCATTTACAGTTAATGTAATATTATAATTGTCAAATATATCTACTATTTGTTGAAAACTGTAATAACCATTTGTAATCTTGTTAGGACTATCAAAATCCTTTTGTATATATTCATCAATTAAATTATACCAACCTATAGTATAAGTAAAACTCCTTAATCCAATTATCTTATTTCCACATTTGTTATCTATATATTGTAGGAAATTTATAGTGTTTTCAATGTTTGAAATTGTTTGATACATTTTTTTAATAAATAAAAATGACAGTACATAATTTCAAATACAACGAAGAAGTAGTTTATAATACAGGGGGAATATATCTTAAAAAACCTATAGATATAATAAAACAATCCGTTATTATTTCATCAGATAAGAAAAGTTTTAATGCGGATTTCCCAAATATATTTGAAAATTACCTATTACCAAAAATATCATCAAATGAAATAGTTAATAGATGGAATGCAGACTGGTTATCGTTTTGGCAAAATCAATTAAACTTCGCTATATGGTGTGCTACTACAGGTTGTGGTATAGATGTTAACAACCATTTAAAAGCAGGAGGGTTGACCGGTTCACTATTCTTATTTCACGTTTACTACCAAACAAGAAGAATATTATTTGAATTATCTATTGCCCTACCACAAGATAAAAGTTGGAATGCATTTAACAACAGTTATGACCGTGGTGCTTACGAAAGAATATGTAAAGAGTTTAATGTAGACCCTCATTCAGATTGGAGACAAAAAATGTATAAAAGTGGAAATGGTTTAGGATTAGTTCACACAACTAGTCACTCTGCATGGAAACGAACTGATTTTAGACATGATTATTCTTCAAAACATATTTCTAGCAGCACATCATCTGATTTAGATTTATCAAAAATGACATTCGGGCCTGAAGTTCCAGGTGGAAGAAAATGTGGTATTTCATCATGCGAATATCTTCCACCAAAGAAAATTCATATTGATTATATTCAACAAGAAGATGATGTTAAGGATGTTTGGACCACATTTATTCTCGATACTTCAGAAGGTTTTACGAGAGCAGGCGTTCAACGGATTAACGAATCAATAAGAACCTATTGTTGGGCTATTCTTTGTTCACAATCTCAAACAAGAACTGATATACTCGGAACAGGAACAGCTTTGAGGATCCAACGTTGAGGATGCAATTAATAGTCCCGTAGATTTACCGAGTCAAATTAAAAGATATCAAAATACATTAAAATTTGCCAGAAGTAAAGTTGATTATGTTTACGGAATTGGTTTGTACATGTCTCCTAGTAATATGGAATTAAGAATCGGAGAAATACAAAATTATAATAATAAAATTATAGTAGCAACTAATTATCAAAAACTTGGATTGAATAATGATGTTAATATTCAACCAATTCCAACAATTCTACATACAGAAATTAAAGGAACACCAACAAAGAAATCTATACCGGAACCAAAAAATGATAAAATACCTGAAGAACCTGTACATGTAGAAATTAAAGAAAAAAAATAAATGATGAACACGAAGATAAAAGAACAGCATTAATAGTAGGAAGTATAGTAATAGGTATTATTACATTTTACTTTTTACGAATATAATTTTCTTTACTTACGTATTCATAAAATTTTATTTTATGCAGAAATTTTCAAAATATGTAAATGAGCCGCTGTGGTAGACCGCATGCTATAGTGAGGTATATACGGTTGGATAATTCGTTTTTCATGGCCTTTTCACCCATGCAGATTTTGAACGATGGTAGGTTTTTGTACCAGCTATTAAATCGACACTCTTTGATCAATCGCGTGATTGCTTCATACTATTTAAATTACATTTTCTTCACGCATTATCAATTTTACTTTTATATTTTGTTCAGTTTAGGTGAGATTATAACCTTCACTAAATGAACGGTAATCGTTGTTAAAAAAATGGGGTATAACTGGAAATTTTTTTTTTATTTTTTTCTACTATAAATTCAGATTCCATTCAGAAAAAAAAATATTTTTAAAGGTGCCATTATGTGCGGTGTCTATTAATTTTTTTATTTTTTATGGGTCGAGGGTTCGAATCACGCCGGGGATAAAAAAATTTTTTTTAAGGGATGTTGGAGAAGAAAATCTTTTTAAAAAAGTAGGTTATAAAAAAAGGGGTATAACTGGAAAAAAAATTTTTTTTAGGGTGGTGCGCTAGACACACTATGTTGTATTATATCTATATTGAGGGTTTTTTGAATGTTTGAAACCGTTATTTTGATGATTTAATGGTTTAGTAATTTCAGTTTATGTAATTAAGACGTTATTTTGATGATTTAATGAATTGTCATTTTGGGGTGGCCTAGACTCGCTCAATCATCATACTACTGGGGTCATATACTGGTCATGTACAATTATCATACCAAGATTGAAGTTCCTAGACTTAAGCGTTCTTTAGATATTGATCGGAAACCGTTTTTACCTTCAATGTCATTGTGACCTTGACCTTTGACATTTGACCTTAAAATGAACAGGGGTTATCTTCTGGTCATTTTCAATCATGGAACCAAGTTTGAAGTTCTTAGGCCTAAGCATTCTTTAGTTATTGATCGGGAACCGTTTGGTCTACGGAACGATGGACCGACAGACAAACAAATGCAAAGCAATATACTTCCACTTCTTTGAATGAGGGGGGCATAATTAATAAAAAGTAAATGAATGATATCTCATCGATATTCAGTACAATGATATGTCTACCTAAGAAGAGAGAACTGAAAATAACCGAAAAAAAACACACAAAAAACAACAACAAAAAACAACATTATGGACAATCACGCATATTCTCAATTGTTATCTTTTTAAGGTTGTCACCATTAATTATTGCAGATTCAACAGCTGTGCATTCAATGATATTGTGATATATTAACCTTAAAACCGTCTTCATTACGTCAGGATTGACATCTTTGATTAACACCGTTTCACCTCCTTCTGCAAGAGAACCATAAAACATGGCTTCAAAAACATCACTTCGCATGCTCAGTACAAATTTATGCGCTGGAAGTTTCACACTTTTATCGTCGCTGAAGGTAAAGCTGATGTCAGAAAGATGTTCTGAGAAGCAAAGATGTGACACACATTGTGCAGCCGTTCTTGATTCCCTCCAGTCAGTATCAAATGAACTGAAAGAAAAGAAAACTGTAATTATAGACCTTACTAGACATAAATGGTAGGAAAAGTAGTACTTTTAGCGGATTGCATGTACAAGATAATAGAAATTGTTTTTAAAACCAAAAGTATAACTTTATTTTTTTGATATATACAATGTATGCAAAATATGCAAAAATCAATTCCTTTTGAATGTTTGGTTTAACTTTCTGTAAATGTCCTCGAAGTGAATACACTAAGCAGTCACAGGGACACAAAAAATACTTTTATCAAGAACAAATACTAGTCTATTATTTCTTATTAAGTCTCTTTACTTAATATAGATATAAATGCGATGCTACAGAATTGAACGCAATAGGAACCAAAATAAAGTAATAATGAGCTATAAGACCCATTGTATAATATATACTTTTCAATATAAAATCCCCCATAAAATTGTCTCAAGAAAGAAATCTCCGTTCCCCTGATAAGATGATTGAAAATATTTATGATAAGCGAGCTGCCGTTATGGGGAATAAATCGGAAACAAAATCAGATCATTAAGCGAAGGAACGGAGCGTGCTTCAGATACTTCAGCTCCCTGTTCTTAGTTGTTAAATATATTTGATATTGTAAAACATCGTTTAAATCAACGTACCTCTCCATTTCTGAATTTGAAGACATCGCAGATGAGTCCTTTCCAGAGCGAGCAGCCATTCTTGACATTTTCTTTGACATGTTTCCCGACCTGTAACAAGAGCAAAATTTGAATTAGGAAGAAATGTAGGTTCTAAAAATATTATGATTATAGATTCCTCTTGTCAAAAGGAAGTTCTCTACATTTAAAAGCGATAATTGACGGGGAAAAGAAACAAACAAGAAAACTTCGAGGCCATATTTCTCATAGAAAAGTATTATAGTATAATTCATGGATATTCAATTCATTGAGGAAACAGGTTCATATTACTATATCACTTTAATCAAATTACCTTCTTACACATTATAAATGGATGCTGTATATTTAGTTATACACATTCATATTTAAAGGTCAAACAAACAGGCCTTACTTTTTTAATTTGTCTATGATCAATAAGCTATAATACACATCCACTTAATTAAAGTGAACGTAGTGAAATTCTATCTTTCCGTGACATTTTATTTGTTAAGTATTCATAATGGTTAAGATAATAATGTATTTGTCCCGTAATCTGATAGACGTTACATTGCGTTCATAGACTTTTGTACGGATTCAGGAGCTTGATGTATAGTCGACCTCGCTTTCTAGCAATGTCAAAAGAAACAGACAACATTTTTTATGAGAACGCCTATATGACTCTTGGTCAGGTGTCCCTGACAAATTTCTAAAATATTTGTTCGATAGTCTGCGGATGTATCAATAAAAAGATATGAACATATATGTTTAGTGAATGCTTTGAATATATTATTCACCAATGAATTGCGATCGAACACAGTACTAATAAGCCACGGACAAATTATGAAATGTATTGTATTTCCCCCCAGAAAACTGAATCATTATAATATCCCGTTCTAATTTGAACCTCGTACCACGGACTTTAAGTCTGTCTGGAGCTCAGTTTTTCGTTCCTTTAACCCATTACTTCATGAGCATTTTGTGAAAATGGCTGTTTTCATTGAAAAGTCTCCCGTTACAAGTTCAAATTGCTATAATACTATAAAAACTGCTTCATCACTAATCAAACTTGGCACAAATGTTGACTGGACCATTGCCCTTGCAACAACATGCTCAGGCTTAAATTTTCTGTTACCATGGCAACGAGGGGACATCTCAAAATTGCCAAAAATCACTATTTTGCGTTGATTTTTTCCATCAAAATTGATTTCAAAGTGCTGCAACTTCTCAATGGATTGAGATAGAGTCAAATGCTTTTCAACGTTGGTTACATGATACCTTATGATCAATCTGGGGTCATTTACACCCTCTCACAAGTCCAAAATTTTCTTGGCGATGAGGGGGACTCCGCCCCCCTTCAAACCCCCCAAACAGAAGGGGGCACATCCCCCTTCTGGCAACCCCCTGATGTATCATTTGGTTGGGGGGCCGCGCCGAAAAAGAGGTCACTTTTTTAACAACATTTCTCAAACAAAAACAAGTGTTTGGGGGCCTAAATAAGGCATTTTTTCATCATTTGAGACAACAAAAAGGGGGGGGGGGTGAAAAAGGCGTTAAAAGGCGTGTATATGAAGTAATGGGTTAAATAAAATTTATATATAATAAACGGAATTCCGTACACGAATACACAGGCCGAGTGACACTGGTGTAATATAATAACAAGGTTAGCTTTTAAAAAAGCTAGTAGCGACTCGCTTCGTAATTTCTTTCCAGGGGCGTGTTTAAATGTAAAAATGACAGTTCTGTTAGCTGAAAAGACTTCAGCGAACATCAAAATAAAAGTGACATATAAAGTTAAGGAAAGCAGTTCTCTCAGTTTAACAAAGAGGAATATGAGTATATATGAAGATGTAAACAGATAGAATGAAGTCCCTATGTCTATGTACATTTACTATATGGCCTGTTGACCTTGACCAGAAAAAAATAGATAAGTAGAATTCATTAAAATGTCTCTTTATACGAAGTTAAGTTGTAATATGTTATTTTGTATTGGAATAAGTGACAGATACAAGTCCTAAAGTAAACACAAGTTATATATCAATTCAGCCAGAAAAGCCGGGATCCTATTAGAAAAATAGGATCCCGGAAATTGACCAGTTCAAGAATATAGTTTTCAGAAAAGCCGGGATCATATTAAAAAATTAAGAGATCCAAGGAATTGGACAGTTCAAAGAATATTGTTTCAGAAAAGCTGGGACCGCATATAGGGATCTCGGGGATTTGACCAATTCAAGAATATAGTCTTTGATTTTCCAATTAATTAGGCATATAATTATAAGTATTGTGATTTGTTAAAAATAGCTTCTAAATATATCTATATCCTAAGTTAAATCAATTTAACTTTCATTACATACAATGAAAAAACTTAACGTTTAATGGCCTATCATTACGACAATAATCAACAACAAATATAGTTTATTAGTTTTTTCCCTTATTATCTTATACGATCCCGGATCCCGGGCGTCCCGGATCCCGGCCAGTAAATACAAACACTAAAATACCGGAAAGGATAAAATGACCGGAAAAAAAGGAAAAAGAAAAAAAAAAATGCACAGAACCAGATGTCCGTTTATGTTAATTAACCAAACGAAAAACTTACTACAGAGTAAAACAGGACTGGTGAATCGCTTAATCAAAAGTCAGTGTAAATATGATTTACTGAAAAAAGAATCCATGAAAACAAACATTTTAATCATTCAATATATCTTTGCGCTCAAAACAATACTTGCTGCTTTTTTAAAAAAATGGCGTGAAAATTGAAAGGTTTTTTTGACGCTATATAAGATCAAATTTGATTGGCTAAATAATTTTGGATCCTAGCCCTGATAGATAAATTTTGTAGAAAGCTGGAAGCTAAGCTTTGATTAAATTTTTGGATTGATTCGGAGTTTTAGGTTGTTTCTCAGTAAAATCCTATCTTAATACCGGCTCGCCGTGGCGAGCCGGCATAATGAGGATAATTATAAACTTTAAAAGTGAAACAATTAAATGCGTTCCATTCCCCCACACCGAGTGCCTCAAATTTTACCGATAGTCACGTGACATGTGCGACAGATACCAGAAGGACGGTAAATAACGTTAGGATTTGAAGAAATTTCTTCCATAAAATGACACTATTTAGCAGCTTTTATATTGGTCAGATGTCACTTGGTCATAAATTTTTTAAAGAGTATTTAGAGTATGTAACCGCAATTTAAGACCCCCTTTGTTGCGATATTTGTTTATTATGTAATTATTTAGCGTGAAGCGTACGGGTCTGAGCGATAACAGCGGATTTATGACACTTCGTTTGCTGCAGGTCGGACTAACTTTAAATCTGCATATCCTTTTTAATAATCAAGCAATTTACATGCTGTTTCAAGCGAATGTAGGACAAAACCCTACCAGTCAAAACCCCACACCTTAAAATGTTATAGAGTGGACAAAATCCCACACCTCCAGTTTTATAGAGTCGAAAAAAACCCAACCACCTTAAATCTTTCAGTTTTTGTGTCGCCTCTACGGAGTAATAGCGACATATAGGGATCACTTCTCCGTCGTCTGTCTGTCTGTCCGTCTGTCTGTCTGTCTGTCTGTCCATCCGTCTGTCACAAAACTTGTCCGGACTACCCCTCATAAACTACTGGTGCAATTTCATCCAAACTTTACAGGAATGATCAGTACCAAGTCTAGTTGTGCATATTGTCAGCATTTTCCGGTTCAATGATTTTTGTCAGAGTTATGGCCCTTTAATAATTTTTAATTTAAAGTTTGTCCGGACTATTTCTCTAAACACTCATGTAATTTCAATGAAACTTTACAGGATTGATCTGTAGCTCCAGTCCTTGCGCATATTGCACGGGTTTCCGGTTGAATGATTTTTGGCCGAGTTATGGCCCTTTGATAAAAAAGGTTTTTTTTCTGTGTGTTGCCAGATACACAAAAGCTTGTCCGGACTACTCCTCAATAAACTACTAGTGCAATTTCATCCAAACTTTACAGGAATGATCAGTACCAAGTCGAGTGTTGTGGGCATATTGTCAGCATTTTCCGGTTCAAATGTTTTTTTGAGTTTTGAGTTGGCCCTTTTTATAATTTTATTTAAAAGTTTGTCCGGGACTACTTCTCTTATACCACTCATGTAATTTCAATGAAACTTTACAGGATTGATCTGTAGCTCAAGTCCTTGCGCATATTGCACGGGTTTTTCGGGGTTGAAATGATTTTTGGCCGAGTGATGGCCCTTTGATAAAAAGGTGTTTTTTTTCTGTGTGTTGCCAGATACGCAATAAGCTTGTCCGGACTACTTCCTCCATAAACTACTGGTGCAATTTTTATTTCCAAAACTTTACAGGAATGATCAGGTACAGTCTAGTTGTGCACTGGTCCCGTCTTGTTTGTTCCCGTCGTCACAAAAATTTGTCCCAACATGAAATTGGCCATCGCAGCGACACATGTGATACGGGATCGCCTTGTGTTTAAATAATTTATAACAACTTTTATAATGGCTACATTATTTTAAGATTTACTAAAGTTTGTTCAGAACAAACAGCAATTTGAAATAACCTACAAAATGATAGTGTGACAACCAGTTTATAAATAGTAGAAAACGGTTTTCAGCTAAAGCTTTAGTTAAAGCTAAAATTCGTCTGGCCTAAAATGCAAGTAACGTTAAAAATTTGTTTAAAATGAAAATGAGGCAAAAATGCATGGAAAGTGTGATAAGTTTTCGTTAAAAGTATAGAGAATTTTTTGTGTTTCTTAACACTCATTACCTATTTATAGATAGACTATTTATAGGAACCGAGTGGAAAGCTACTATTAAGTACTTTTATTAATAATCAAAGCCACAAAAAAGTCTAAAAATTATTTTTGGTAACTTTCTGGGTTCCGTTAACTGAATAATTTATAAATGCCTTTAACGAAAATGATGTTTCATTTGTTTTTTTAACCGTAAATTATTTATAAACCTGATCCTTTAAATAAATTCAAAAACTGGGATATAAAAACCCATATATCTTATAGGTATATCACTCGGGCCTTTTTTGAAAAAGATAAAAAAAAAAGCAGATTTTGTATGAAATGATGGCTTTGATCTTCAAAATTCATACGTTTTATTTGTTATTTTTACAACAATGACTGTGATTTGCTCAATATACACAAAGAAAGAATAATTTATATGACACGAACTAAACAGAAAGTAGATGAGGTTTTTTTAAAAATAAAATTAG